TATCTTTCGTAATTTATTGTCAACTCTATAAACAAATTAATGAGGCCCATTTTATGAAACAGAATAAAACATATTTGAGAACTAAACATATTTATAGATTATATATTGAAAATAATATAAATTAATTGAATTAATATGAATAATAATAATATAATTTAGTGAATATTAAATTTTATAAATGAGGAAATATATAAATTTAAATGTATAACAATTAAGAGAACTGTATTTTAATACTCGAAACTTTGTCTTTGCGGAAAATTTCCTCAGACAAAACATTTATAAATTTTAATTACCCAAATAAAAATATTGTATAGCTTTTAAATTTCATTATGATTAAAATTTGATATGTAGGGACATTAGCAATATAATAGTCTTTCTATGTCTGGTCTCGGCTTTCATCTATCTAACTCTGTTCTCGATATTAAAGACAGACAGTCAGATGGACGACAGTGGAAATTTATAGATCTACAGTTTTTTCAAATTGCAACTTAAGCAGTGCACACTTTTATATAAAATTAATTGTCTATGTAGAGAAATAGTCAAGAGATTAAAGAAATTCAAAACAGCAAGTTCAATTTATAATATTTTTGTAAATTAATTACAAATAATAAAAATATGTTTTATTAAAAAAAATTGGATCAGAGAAAAATACATATTTATTTATTTATTTAACAAATAATTTAAATTATGACATATGACCTTAATTGTGAACAACTTGAAATTTTATCACTAAAATCATTCTCCACAATTTGCTGAAAATTCACTTAGTGCATACAAATGCATGCACTAAGTAAACAAATGCATACATATTCACTTAATGAATTTGTATGCACTTGTTTACGTTACAGAATTTTTTTTTGTGTTTGAAATAATTATTACAGCTAATTTCATAGAAAATCGTTATTGGTATGATTAAATGAAAATATACCATATTAGCTTTAAAAGAACCAAGCAATTACATAACTTTGTTTGTGTGTTGCTGTTTGTTAAGAATCAAATGATTCTTAGCAAACAGCAGCACACAAAAACAAATTATATTACTTAAGAAATATTAGCATAGGCAATGAAAATAATAGTTTGAAAATTATATATATATATA